TGAGAGACTACTGGAATTTAGTCCTTGATATGCCAGATTTCCAACACTTCAAGGGTAAAAGGAGAATCCAGGCTCAAGGACGAATCTTGAGATAAAGTCTTGAAAGACACATCTCCGAAGTCTAAAGACAATCTAGACTCCAAAGAAAAAGCCGCTTTAAAGTAATGCACTATAACATTACTAACCTCCAAAGGATTATCCATATCAGTATTATGAATGAGAGTTACCAAGCGCATGAAAGTACTTAGTATTGTTATCATTTTCTTTAACCCACTTAGATCTAGACCTTTGGAACCAGAAAATTTCTTGAAGCCGAAGAAAGTTATCGAGCTCCACTTTCTTAGCACTTCTAGCCGTCACTTGGTCCTGGGAGATGCCACCCATCAACTACTAAAGAGAATTAAGATCAGAAATCTCTCGTTCCAACCTGCCAATATTCCCAACCAGGTTGCAGAATTTAGTTATGCCCCAAAACTTCATATTATTTTTCAGTAGTTTCAATTTACTGGATAGAAGAAAGCCCCGCCATTGATGGGGCATGAAAGTGGCCTAAGATGAATTCACAACTTTAGCCAACGAGTTATCCTCCAACCAAATCATTTCAAAACAAAAAGGTGGGGGACTTAGAAGCCACCCTACAGGAAACAAGTAAAATAGGAGTGTGATCAAAGGCAAAGCGTTAACCACTGCTTTAGGGAACTTCTCGGCCCACACATCAGGAACCAGAAAATGGTCCAACTTGGACATTTTCGGGTCATTGGTCGAGTTGTCGAACCATGTAAAGGTTGTACCCAAAATATCATAGTCAAGGAAACTATGGCTAGTTATATACTCATCAAACATGAACATGGCTGGGGAGAGCACAGACTGAGAAAGCACTTTGTGCAGTCCCTGAACCATGTTGAAATCCCCAACACCACACCAAGAAATCCCAGACCTGGTCGGAGTACTGGAAAGGAAATTTACGAATTGATATTTCTCCCCCGGAGCATTCACACCATAAACATTAGTCAAGCACTATAGAAAGCAATCAGGGCCACAAAAATATAATGAAATCAAAGGTCCAAAATATACCCCGAAGTTATAGAGGGGTTCCAAATATAGCGAAGACCTTTGGAGAGGCCATTAGAGGGAGAGAAAGCAAAGTCTACTGGGCTAGAGCCCCGAAAAGATCTTAAAAAAGTGACATCCATAGTTGTGAGCTTGGTTTCCTGCAAAACAAGCATGTTAGGTCTGCAACTAAATATCAATCTGCGCAATTGTCTCCTCTGTGCCCCACCCAAGCCACACACATTCCATGACAACACTAACATGGAGACCGAAAACCCCTACCCCTCTTAGTGGTGCATATAGCACCAGAAGCATGGGGATTGAAAGAGAGACCTTCTGCAAGCTCAACAGCCTCCTTCTGAAGTCTTGAACAACGTCTTCTAAGCCTAAGGTTCTAAGGAGCCAAGATGTCATTCGAGAAATTCCTTTCTCCACTAGGGGGATTTCACCTTTAAATTTGGCCTTCATTCCTTCAAGGAGTTTAGCTGCCCGATCACGGACCAGCCCCCTCTTATAAGCTTTGAGTGACCAAGTGCTTGCATCCGGGGGAAGATCCTCTTCATAAGAATCCGAAGACTCAGTGACCAAAACTCGAGGAGCCTTGGGAATATTAGGAATAGCTGCTATCATCAAACCATTTTGGCGCTGCTCAGAAGTTGCCACCATAGAAGGGATGGAGAAAGTAAACCGACCCCACACCTGACTATATTCCCAAGTCGAAAGAGACATCCTTACAACATTCTCTGGAATATCCACTGGATTAGATAAAACTACATCCCTTTCAACCTCAACATCCATAATAGTAACCAAAGGAGCAATTGAAGAACTGAGACTCATTGAAGAACTGAGACTGTTTACTCTAAAGAAAAGAAGATGGAGAGGGCTGGAAGAGAGGAGACCCAAGAAAAGAAGACTGGAACCCATCTGAGGGCCCAGGGAATGAAATATTGTGCTGAAAGGGGTACCATTCGGAGATCAACAGTTGGAACCAAAGGGATAGGGATATCAAGCGCCACTTCAAAAAATCCTTTCCATCATTAACCTTAGCACGAATCAATAGATCATCGACAAATGGCTCTCGAAGACTCCCAAGGTCCACATCCGACCATTCACCCAAGTCAAGCTCGATCTTTCAAGCAGCCGAAAATGCATGATCTGGCCCCTCCGTCACATCAAGAGAAGACACGCTGGCACAACAACCAAGAACACCTACCCTTTGCGTGATATCATGAGAATTGTGAGGAGACACGTTGTCCGTCCGATGAGATTTACCAAAAGGGCTCCTTGTAGATGGTGCTATAGTTGGAGCCGAAGAGACAACCTGGATGTTGATCCCTTTCAAGGAACATCCATAGTTCCTTTTCAATGATTCTCCCAATACATTAATACAGTTAAGGGAAAATGAAGTTCCAGGCGCAGACCGTAGTGGTCCACCTGATCCAACGGCCTACTATTGCAATTTGAATTTGAATTGGAGCCTGGCAATAAATGCTTAGGAAGCATCCCGCCAAGCTTAGCACTCACATGGCCAATCATCTTCTTTCTCCATTCATGTCGGGAAAACCTCTTTTGAGGAGGCGGATGCCTGGGAGACTGCGCCCTCCTCTTTTTGGAAACTACCGTCCAATGGTGGCTATTGTTACCGTTAGCTTGAAAATGACCAGAAACCACCCAAGGAATAGAGGATTCCGATGAAGTTGAACCATGCGAGGGACCGGAGGCTGATTAGATTCAACCTAGATAGATAAGCCAAAAAAATCCTCTCCCGCCTCCAACAACATCTCAGTCGGTCTCAATAGGTAAACTTCTACCCACAATAGGCTGAATTTTCATACGTAAGGTACCAAGGCCCAGACCAGCAGTGGTAAACCACTTAATATCCAAAAGTTTACCATACTGAGATGCAACTACGTTGAAAACCGCTCTGGCGCAAGTTCTAAAGGCCTAGTCATGATGCATATTGAGGTCCTCAATCAGAGGACTAAAAGAGCAAACCATAGCTCTTTGTAACTGAGAGGTTCAACTGCCCGTAGCTTTGGACGGAACTTCAACAACAACAATGCCAGTAGGGGAACGACACACCGGAGTCGAAGGGAAAGCCTCAGCCACCGGTTCAGGCCCGAAACAGAATTCCTTCCAATTCCAAGAAGGCACAAAACCTTTAGAGTTACTAGAAACTTGCTTCCCGAAAGCCTTGTCCTAAGGACCCAGATGAGCTCTGGAACTATGACTGGATCTAGAATTCCTCGAACCATTCAAACCGCTGACCTTCCGATGAGAAGCATCACATGATTCACGGCTAGAGGAAGAACATCCAATACCCTCTGATTTCATCCCATTCCTCCCCATGGCTTGGAAGCATTAGAAAGGTCAGGGAGAGAGAGGAGCAAAGGTTAAAGAGAGGAAGAAAAGAAGAGCCGCAGGGAATAAGCAGAGCCATGACAATGGAAAAAGTTTGTCGAAGTTCAGTTCTCTCTCTCTCCCCATTCCGGCCTCTCTCATAGGAGTGTTCTCTTAAACCTTCATTCAATGCAAATAAAATCTTATTTGGAGTTTGGAAGGGCATTAGCTTCCTATGCCATAACCACAAGGTCAAAAAGGAAGTATCCATTATAAAGTTGTCCCAAAAAGTTCCTGTTTCTTGGAAACCATAAATAACACTAGGTCGAATCCAACCACTAAATTTCGAAAAGGACTCAAAACAATTTTTTTTTTTTGGGGTTAATTAAAACGACCCAAAACGTTTGATTGATTGGAAATCCATCTATGCGGACACATCAGTGATACGATAATCTTCAACAGACAAAAACAATGGTTGCAAGAAAATCATTAACAAAACCCCATGTCAAAAAAATTAAAATGGGAAGGAACTAGATTTCGGCTTCATTTAACCTCAAAGATAATTTGTGAGCAAGAGTTAAAATTGAAGCAGCCACACAAATAAAGATAATTGACCAACAGGAGTAGATCTTCAACTTCCAAGGCACCCAAGTGGGAAACTCAAGAAATTTATGTACTTCACATGCATATGGTACCCACCATCTTCTCAACTCTATCTTCAAATCTACTTGATATGCATATGGTACCCACCATCTTCTCAACTCTATCTCCAACCTATTTAGTAGTTCCATACTCTTATCTTTAACCTATTTAGTAGTTCCATGGCAACAGAAGTTGGTTATAGCAAAATGCTAACCTACTTAGTAGTTCCATGGCAACAGAAGTTGGTTATAGCAGAATGCCAACCTATTTAGTAGTTTCATGGCAACAGAAGTTGGTTATAGCAGAATGCTGTCGGTTTCAAAGGAAAAACGGGACACGTGTATAGTGATTGGGAAAAGACAACGAGAATAGGTTTTTTGCTTCATGTTGGCAATTTGGAAAAGAGTAGGCTCACCAACCATGGTAGGGCCCTTCTCCGAACCAATGATAGTACGATTAACAAAACAAAAAAAAATAAACAGGGGCGTTTTTGCCATTTCCTGGCGGAACCATCTTCACCTAAAGGAAATGGGTGATGCTCCTTAAGGAAGCAGTTTCTATAAAGCCTAGTCTAATAAGGCCTCACTTGGGATCCTCATCTGGAAATCACATTGTAAATATCTGACTCTAAAATCAATTTCCAACATCGATTATAAAATTTGAAGTTCAAATATAATACAAATCTTGTGGATAAATGAACACTTATTTTTAGAACGAAATTGAAGGTCTAGATAATGCCCTATTTTTAGGCTCAAAATCTTTTTTTTTTTTACGACCATAACAGTCAAAAGCCAAGACGATCGATTTGAAGGTTTACCAATGCCAAAACTGTAATTTTCGGTGAATTTTAGGGTAAACTTTTAGTTGTTTTGATAGGGCTGCAGCCCTATCAAAACATTTTTCTTAGATGTTTTATTCCACGCGTATAAAATGGAGAAGCACTTCATTATCACACAAGATGAATGGCCAGAACACCCCCATTATTGGAAAGGGCACAAAATGAGATCTAATATAATGTTTCAATTCGAATGATAGGACTCCCCTTTTTCATTCTCTCTCTGATTCAGGTGTCAATCCGACAAGCATTTACAATTTCTCCCTCCTGCGAACTAATGTTCATGCACAAACAAAATGACAAGACAATGTCGACAAAAACAGGATGGAAATGTATAACATTATAACCACTAGCTTGTGCTGCAAGCTTGGCAAGTATCATTCATACAGCCAGAAATGAGACCCAAAACAGGACATGAGAGACTTATTTTTGTGGTGCCTGATGTATAAAGATATCTTCTGAAAGTTAACTTCCTCTTACGATGGAAGATTGGGGATTCTCAGTTCTCATTCTGAGCAGTGTTGACTTGATTTGCGGCATTGTGCTAGATCCATCAAAAATGGTCTGAATAACTCCAATTGATTTCCTATTTATAGCTTGGATGGTGCTTTTATCAGATACAAAGTGCACCAAGATCTGGATGTGCCTCTTCTTTTGGCCCAACAGAAAGTGAATCTGAACAAGTTGCTGTCTTTTCACCGGGTGCCCGTCCCTTCCTCCCATTAGTTTTTATAGTTCTCTGGTTACTGTTATGCATCAGAAAAAATATCACTCGGTTCTTTGAACCACATCATCATTCATCTTTGAACCACATGTAACATGAAAGTTTCAGTAGAATGTGCTGTCTGAAAAATCCATAAGTTATAGCACTAAACCCCCATTTTGTCTTTGCCTTTGTTGGCATTAACATATTTATAGAATATAAATGAAAAAATTATTGCACATAGCTCAAAGGCATGAATGGTAGAATTTCACAAAATTCATCTACCTACAAGGAGATGCAGTCAAGCTCCAAAAAAGAAGTTGCCTTATGGCATCCATCGAGCAATGCAATACAAACACGAAAAGTATGCTAAGAAAAATACCTGATAATTTTCACACGATATTTCTCTGTGGATGTTCCACAACAGTTCTTGTACTTTTTCTTCGAACCACAAGGGCATAGCTTGTTTCTTGCAATATTCTGCATTGAAAAAGGTCAGAGAGAAGAAGCGTTCATTCTAAATCAAGGGAAAGTGGATACAAACCAAAAAGGAAAAAATAACAGTCAGGTGTCTCACATTCACAGTGGAAACCTTGCTGGGACTGGAGGGGCTGACCACATGTTGGATTGGGAGCAGCTCACCAGCTCTGATGTCCTCACCATTGCTGGCGTGGTTTGCTTTCTTTGACTGTTCACTGTTGCCAAATTCAGAAGGATCTGAAGGATTGTCACAGATCTCACCTTGCTGCAAATGCTCTAGTACTGTTTACAGTATGAAAAGCACAATGATATGCTAAAGCTAAGCACCTTCAAAACCTTTTCAGTGAAGGACTTGAACAAAAACCCGACGAGGTGTCCATTCAAAATCCAGAAAAGGATACCAACTTAAAGGAGAAATACTTGAACCTAAAATTGATATGGAATTCCATATCATCTATTACCAGACTATATTTGCTTATTACTCTGTACACATAGAAGGTTTTTCTTTCTTCTTTTCTTATTTCTGTTTTCTCTTTTTGACCTTGTTTTGTGATCAAGCTAGAAAGGATATGAAAGGCATACACTTTAAAGCAGTGTTTTAAAAATCGCCGAGTCGGTACGGAATTGGCCAATTCGAATCGGAAATCGATCATCCCGTATCAGTTCTTTTGTAAAGCTGGGAATCGCCCGGTTCTAGAGAGAACCAGCGATTTTGCACAGTAAATCACCCGGTTCTTCGTGTCATGACATCAAGACCCGCCCATCAGGACCCACCCAATCTTCTACAGTCAAAGGGCATTCTTCTAAAATTTGGGGAATTTAGAGGCAAAATTCGTTAGAGACCGGGAGCCCACGGGTCCGCCTGCTTCGCGGGCCTCTAAGTTCTTTCATGCACGTGTGCTCATGATCCACACGCTTCGCATAATCTCATTGCTTCACATGCGCTACGAACGATGAGTACAAAGAACTATTTATTCATATAAATTTGCTTCTCTCTCTTCGATGTGGGACTATGTGAAAAAGTAATACCTTAAAATATTCATATATTATATATTTTGTTAACGGCTTTATAAACACTAAGTTGCAAGTGCTATACCGGTTATTGCGCGCGCTCAATGGGACGAAGGAGGGGGGTTCGATTCCTCTCGTTGAGGAACTGTTTTTTTTTTCTCTTTTTTTTTGTCAAGTTATTTTCTTATCACAAAAATTAAAGGCTTTTTGTAAAAAATAAAAATAAAAGGTTTTTATCAATTTCGCTTTTTGTCAAATTTTTTTCTTATCAATAAAATAAAAAGTTTCGTATAAAAAACATGAAAATTTTTGTCAAAGTTTTTTCTTATAAAAAAAATTAAAGGCTTTTTCTAAAAAATAAAAATAAAAGGCTTTTATCAATTTCGCTTTTTGTCAATTTTTTTTTCTTATCTAAAAAATAAAAAGTTTCGTATAAAAAAATGAAAGGTTCTTATCAGTTCTTTTTCTTGTCAAAAAAAAAAAAGGTTTGTTTCAAAAAAATAAAAAATAAAAAGTTATTTGTCAAAAAAATATAAAGTTCTTATAAAAAAAAATACAAGTAATTTTGTCAAAAAAACTCATTTGTTATTTTTGTTAAAATAAGTTCATATTTTTGTCAAAAAAACTCATTTCTTATTTTTGTCAAAAATACAACAAGTATTTTTGTTAAAATAAGTTCATACAGAGAAAAAAAACTCAATATTCACATATTGATGTAAAAAATGAAAATTAATAATGTAGTACCCCGATTTCTTATTGGATTATTAAGAAACAACATTTGTAATGAATTTTAATAATTTTTTTAGATGTTTTTAAAGCTTAATCCGACCGATTTCCGATCTGGATCACCGATTCACCGATCCGGATGGGTTTTTGGGGTGCTTGTTCAGGGACACCGATCCGTTTTTTAAACCACTGCTTTAAAGGAACAACAACTATGGCACCTCGAAACTTAGTTTGAACTCTATGGGGCATAACCATCAGGCTTTTGTGGGGCATGCTCCAAAAGTGCTTACTAATGAACAACTGAAACCCACCTTGGTACTTGGGCCATATTTTTTACGAGATAGATCACTTATGCAGGGAATTGGAAGTTACTTGGAGGCACACTCGAAGAATCGAAAACGCAGCGACAGACGCACTCGCTAAAGAAGCGGCTAGACAACTTATCTAACAGGATGTTTAATCTGTGTAAAAGGGCTTCATTACTAGCCCTAACTGTTTTATGTTTACCTCTATTCTCTACTCCTGTTATAACGCGAGAAAAGGGCTAAAATTCAAATCTATCCTTTTGTCCGCTTTTGTAATTGGGCACAAATATAAGCCCCCACTTTACTGTAAGCCCTCTCCGCTGCAGTGTGAGTCTATGTAGTGGAAGTCTTTGCAGGTCCTCCTCTCAGGGACCACGATGCTGTTGAGGACATGTAGTGGAAGTCTTTGCAGTATTGACAAACTCATGTATTTTATTTTCATTTAATGCTAAGTTAATTTCTATCAAAAAAAAAATGAACAACTGGAACCCAATGACAGAAGCAGATGATGCTTCAGATACAGTTTTGGGTTGGAGGAGACATTGAAAATATTTTGCAGATAAATAACACCTCAAATAGAAGCACAAGTGAATTCTCCTCTTACGTATATTCATTGCAGTCGTGATGTTGAGAGAATTGGATTCTACCAATTGTCCTTCAACTGCCATGTGTAGGAAGAATTCCAGGTACAAGGTAGGGAGAATCTTCTAGGTACTACATTGATTGTCTGCTGATTGTTGATGCCATAAAAGCATCCATTAATTAGGGATTCATCTCAAGGCTGCAACAGTCAGGATCTATGTAACCTATCACACTTCCAAAAGAGAAGTAGAGAGAGTAGAATATGGAAAAAGTCTTATCCCAGTTTTAGCATGCTATAATGTGTTTCTTGTTAGAATAGTATACAAAAACCAATGTTTCAAAAAGCGCTAGGCGGGTCCTAGGTGGCCTGGGGGGTCAGGCAGCCCAGCACCTAGGTGGGCGCCCAGAACCTGGGCGGCCTAGTCGAATCCAAAAAGGATGCCCATTTGAATAAAAAAATGATATATAGTATAAAAAATAAAAATTAGGTATTTAGGACACTTACTTCGAGTTTGATTGCTCAATCTTCAAACTTACACCTCAAAGATGCTCTAAGGACTCAAAATCTTCTAAAAAACCCCTCAATAGATTTATAAAACATTAAAAATTAAATTTAATATCAATGGGTGATTTTTGATCAATTTTTGTCGACTTTGAGAAACCCTTTGATCCTAATGAAATCACCAAAAACTAGTTTTTTGGAGGCTTTCTCTCTCTAAACTGAGCTCCAATAAGTTTTAGGTTTCAAATGAACTTAAAACCATAATTCTAACCCTTTATATTTTTTAAAAAAATCAATACAAAAAAAGAAAAAAATTCCGCCTCTGGGCAGGCGCCCGCCTAGGTGGAGCACAGGCGCTAGGCTGGGCGGCCGCCTAGACTGCCGCTCAGATTGGCCGCCTAGGCCTGGGTGATGCACCCCAGCCTTCTGGACTGCCAGGGCGCTGGGCGGTCCGCGTTTTGAATCACTGACAAAAACATGTTGACTAGCACTGACTCTCGCAAGGATTAGAAGGATCCTAAACCAGAGGAAACAAGCTCTGGTATAGAAACGCCTAGATCCTTGTAGGAACCCTGACAGTTCCTGATTGGACTCGCCCAAGTCCCTGAATCCAGGCCAAGTGAGCTAGGGCTCAGCAACTCCAACAAATTTGTTAACGGCTGCTAATTGGAGAAAATAATAACAATAGTTGGTATTTTTCAGCCAGCAGGCAGTATTATGCCCCCTAAAATATCAATATGGCAGTTTTGCAGCCTTCTATATTGGTTTAAACAAGTTTTGCAAATAACTCACCAATTTCATGAATCTAAGAGAATTCAAAATGCACATTTGGAGTAAAAAAAGGTACTGGAGAGCCTCAAATTAAGTAGACCCTGAAGACTCACTACAAAAACACTGGGGGGTTTCAATTTTGCAGATTTTGAGGGTCCATCTGACTGATAATTGATTTACAACCTTTATGTTTCCTAAATTTCATTGTTTTCCTGTGTGATTTTTTTATTATGAAGTTTCTCGAAAACACTCATGCAGAATTATGTGTTCCTCCTGGCTGCTAAGCATAGGGCTCACTCTAACGTTGATAAGGGATAACACGCAGACCCTCATCGACATGGTGTATCAGGCCTCACACCTCTCAAGAGCCCCAAGCCCCTAGGTTTTTTTTTAACTCAATCAGCTAATTATCTAGACCGCAAACCAAGCTAGTCAATGGCACTCATGCCATCCCTCAAAGGCCCTCTCGGCCATAAAGCCCATTAATCCCTCATGGACCAATCCGCACCACACTCAAACTGGGAAACCTTTATGTGTTCTCATTAACAGTATGAGTGCCTACATGGGGCAATACAGGAGCTAACATACATTTAAATGCCACAAAAACCCAACAGAACTGATCCAATTACAGACATTCCTGAACTATAGTTGAGATAACCATAATCGGGATGATGAAATCCTCCTTCCCATTCATATTGCCTGTAGTTTGAGTCATTCATATTCAGATATGGTCACAAATGTGACTACTGCTATGTACTCCAATTTGGACTATTGACTGCATGGCAAATAGTGAAACATACCAAAACCATTTAAAAACCTCAGAATCTATAAAAGTTTCTAATTTTTCTCCATACACAGAAATGTTTTCTATTTTTTCATTTCCTCAGTTTTCACAGGTTTTCCCATTGTTTGGCATTTTTTCTGATTTTTCTTTCTCTTATTTTTGGGGACTCAAGCAGACGTGCCCAGCCAAGTCAGACTAGTCTGTGCCCAAGTCCAAACCTCCTTCAGTGTCTCAAAATACTGTGCCCGTCTTTCACAGCAGAATCATAAGTGACTTGCCTTCATATATCAAGAATCATGGGAACTGAAACATGTATGGGACATGCATAATGTAGATTCTTGACTGCTACAATCTAATCTAGCATAGTTATTTTCTTAACCTTTAACTAATTTTCTTTTACCATATTTATGAAGACTGGGCATATACTACAGAATACTCTTTTACCATATTTATGAAGACTGGACATATAAAACAGAATGCCCATCAAGATGGATAGTTACTATCCATTGCTATATCGTAATTGCAACAATCAGATGCACGTTCGTACAAAACAAAAAACACAAAGATTTCTAAAAAACTAATGAACTGATTCAAAATTAAAAAGAAGCTAACAAGCTTAACTTCAACGGCTCTACAGAATTCACAAGAATTAAAAGAAACAATGTTTCTAAACAATAATTCAAATCTCTCTTCTAAGTTCTCTATATAGACCCTTATTTATAATAAAAGTCTTCGAATTCAAGAAATCCATAGAAATCCTAGTTCTAGTTGAAATATAAGGCCCAGTTTGGATGTCAAAGAAAAAAATATTCACATTGAAAAAACATGCAAATTTTTTCCTCCACAATTGAGAAACATTATCGTTTTATTTTATTATGTTGGTAGACTGTTTGGATGTCTATTAAAATATGAGAAGAAAATTTTATTTGCCAGATATGTCTGAATGTATGCGTTGCAATTTTATTTCTTGCATATTCTTGATCTCCGTAGAGCAGTCGAAAATGGCAGAAAAATAACTCGAAATATGAAATTTTAAAGAAATCGATAATAAATCCCAAATCCAATTTACACAATTTTAGAATTTAATTATATTGATTCCTCTATCTCTGGATTTGCAGTTTATTCCTATTATCTGAATCTGCAGTTTATTCCTATAAATGTAGGCGACAGAGAGAATGAGAAGAACCCAGAAAGCAAGACCAAGGAGAAGTTCAATACTATTATTAGAGAGAGAGTAACTTGATGCATGGGCAAACGAGGTGAGACATCCTTTACAAACCTTCCTTTGCAAATGTTTTGAGGTTGTAAAACATCTCCCTCTGCATACTCAGAAAACCACTCCATTAAATTTAGATAGAGAAACTCTATGCTACAGAGAAAAACTCCACTATCAACCGCTCTCCAGCAACCCCGTCGAAATAGATGGAAAAGCTCTGTGAAATTAGGGGCGCAGCTTTCTAGAGAGAGAAAGATGGAAAGGTTCTTTTTTTAGAGGAGAAAAAGTCGAACTAGTACTGAGAGATGAGATCTGCATAGTTGAAGATGAGAGAAGGAAAGAGCTGTGAGACCTGCTTGAGAGTGGGAGAGAGGCTTTTGTAAGTGTGACTCAGAGCGGGAAGGTTTGGTGAAAGGCGCGAAAAATGAATAGTTGAAGATGAGAGAAGGAAACAACTGAGACCTGCATGAGAGTGGGAGAGAGGCTTTTGTAAGTGTGACTCAGAGCAGGAAGGTCTGGGGGAAAGGCACGAAGAGGGAAGCGAACAAAAATCAGCATAGTTGAAGATGAGAGAACGAAACAGCTGAGACCTGCTTGAGAGTGGGAGAGAGGCTTTTGTAAGTGCGACTCAGAGCGAGAAGATTTGGGAAAGGCAGGAAAAGGAAAGCGTAAAAAAATCTGTATAGTTGAAGATGAGAGAAGGAAACAACTGAGACTTGCTTGAGAGTGGGAGAGAGGTTTTTGTAAGTGCAAATCAGAGCGGGAAGGTTTGGGGAAAGGCGCGATAAGGGAAGCGAAAAAAAATCTGCATAGTTGAAGATGACAGAAGGAAACAACTGAGACCTGCTTGAGAGTGGGAGAGAGGCTTTTGTAAGTGCGACTCAGAGCGGGAAGGTTTCGGAGAAAGGCGCGAAGAGGGAAGCGAAAAAAAAATTTGAGTCTAACTGAAATTTTTTTCGCTCACGTTTTTGGGCAAATTTAGCTTAGCGTCACAATCTGTTTTGTCGGGAAATAAAATCTAATGAGGTTATCCAAACAGTTCCCAGTTGCTATCTCAATCTTTTTTTCTTGTCATTTGTAAATATTGCAATTTTGGGTACATCCAAACTGGCCTTAAGTCCTAATTAAAACAAAATTTGTAATGACATTTTTACCCCTGATAAAATATGTAATTCTATAAAAACACTAGCTACTTTTTTAAATACCTAAAATCCTAAAAAACAAGAAAACAAAATCCTAAAATCCATTGAAAACTTTAAAATACTAAAAATAAACCCTAAAATTAAATTAAAATATACATCCTTTGAAATTAAAAAAATTAAAAAATAAGAGGATTTTGTCGCGCATCAAATTTCCCTGGTTGGAGAAAAACCCATATTAGAGTTTTTAAGTGTCCTAGAATGAATCCTTTGTTAAACCTATGGTCTTCTTCCACCCAAACATTGCAAATTGCCATTGAGGCTTGATCTTGGAATCAATAGGTCGCCGGTAGTAGGGACATTTTCTCTAGGAACAGATCTTGATATATATGTTGAAAAATTGATGCAAACATAATTGGATCAACTCTATCTGAATATGCACATAAAACTTCTTCCTCACCGTTAACCTTAGCAATTTTAGGACTTCCAATCAATCTTGAGTATCCCTCACGACTATTCCACATGAAAATCAGAATAACCCATGGCCTCCAAGCCTACATCAAACCCAAGGTTTTTGTCCATGGCTTTCACAACAGATAGAGGCCCTAGAGTATTTGTGGTTCACCTCACCATCTAGGGTTTCCTAGTTCATCTTGACAACTAGGGTTTCCTCATCCTTTTTAAAATCTAATCTCCCCTCACTATCCCCCAGAGAAATGGCCCCAATTTCTTAAGCTCATTCCAAAGTTCTTCATAAAAGATTGGCCCATCTAGAATCAAGGTTTTCTAATGTGGCTCTTAATTAAAAATAGGATTACCCACGAGATCAAGAATGGATCATTCAATCTGAAAATAAAAAAATATATCTCAATCTGATCCTTCTATAGTTTGAACCAAAGGATCATGTAATGTAGAGTTCTCTCTCCCCTAGTTAAAGAATGGGTAAAATCCTTAGCCTCAAATCCATAATTGTCACGAATGACAAAAACCCCCTTGTTCAGAGAGCATGGGGAGCTTCAGTAGAAGCACCAATTCCTCGGCTCTCCTCATCAGATTCTCAAACTCTTGTGTTAACACAACTCCACAACCTTGACCACGACCAACATGTCATCCTCTAACTGGCATCACACAAAATTGCAGGGCATCGACGAGCATTTCAGGAGAGAACCTCTGATTCCAGATGATACAAATTTCTTTCAATTAAAAAAAAAAAGGACGATTTCTTAAAAGAAATAAAAAGAAGCTAACAAGCCTAACTTCAATGGTGGTACAGAATTCACAGGAATTAAAGGAAGCAATGTTTCTAAACGATAACTTAAATCTCTCTTCTAGAATCTCTACATAGATCCCTATTTATAGTAAAAGACCTTACTTAGAATCCAAGAAATCCAAATTCTACTTGAAATATATGTCCTAATTAAGATAAAATTTGTAATGACATTTTTAATCCTAATAAATGGGTAATTCACTTCCAAATAGCTCTTGAAATCCTAAAAAACTAAGAAAACCCTAAAATCAATAAAAAACTTTAAAAATACTAAAAATGAACCCTAAATTAAAATTAAAATCTCTGTCTTTGAAATTAATCCAGAATTTAAAATAAGAATGATTTTGTCATGCACCAGAATCCAACTACATTTCTAGAGTCCTTGATTTGTTTATCATCAAGTGGTGACAAAACAAAGCAGAAGTTACAACTAACCTATACAATTAAGGAACTCACCTGTACAAGGTTTGTCAATCGACATCATATTTTCTTCTACACCCTGTTCTGCTATCAAGAATTCTATTGCAGCATCAATGTCCCCACCAACTTCATTAAGGATCTGCACAAGACACCATGCATGCGATCATCGGAATAAGTTATATCTTGTGAAACTTAGAATCAACGAGTTTAAAGGTCAAACTATAAACAAAAAGAAAGTTCAGTTACCAAAAAAAAAAAATGCTAACAAGAGCAACGTCATTGAAGATTCAATGTATTTTGCCTCTATTCTCACAATTTTAATACTGTTTCAAGCATAGCCAAAGATGAAGTTTTCATTACCTGTTCCACTTTATTGATATTTTCGCAACCAGTTCCTAAGGAGACCAGTTTAACTGATGCAGGATCAATGATCTTGCTATTATAGGAAGATTTAAACTTGGCACTAGCAGTTTTCTCCTTCAAGGATTTTGCAGAAAGGTCAGCATCCACCTAGCACGACAGTTACCAAAGTAAAACAGTGTTTTATAAGCTTACAGCAGAATGAAATGAATTTCAATTCAAACTAAGTTTGGTAACTGAAGGAACCTCAATAACAATTGGTCTAGCAGGACCATGGCAGCCATCATCTTTTAGTCGAACACTGTTATAGTGCTCTCCATCATGATATGATCTGTCAATGGAACTCGGTGCCAATAAATCTTCAGAACAAATTGTTCGTAAGTGCATAAATAGCCTTTACAAAAAGGACTATGGAGTAGATTTCAAAAACAGATATAACTTAAAAAAAAAAAGGCATACTAAAATCATAAAAAGTGAAGGACGCTCCAAGAGTGTTCTATTAGCCCAAGTAATGGGTAAGATTTACTGAAATTTATGTATCTAGGTCTCTATAACTTATTCAACATCAGTTCTTATTGAATGGAAAGGATATGTTGAATCCTCTGCACATCCTTCTAGTGCTCCCAGAAGAGAAAAAAATAAGCCCAAGTAAAAGTCAGTCCACCAGCAATGCTTGTAAGAAACACCTCATTCAATCCCATAAATGCTGTCTTATGACTCCAACTGACTGCATGCTTAGGCAATGGCCCATGACAGGGGTGGGCTAGAATTCATTGCAGGTATACACTGTAGTGCAGCCTCCAAAGTTAAGAGCAGAAGTGGAATTTCCAAAACGTCCTTGAAGAATGTGTGATTAACTGTGTCAGTGTAAGGATTTTAAAATCACTAGGACACTGTGGAACATTTTAACTAGCAAGATGTAAGCCAACACTCCCATATCTCATTAGCTGAAGATATATAAAAGTTCAAAAAAAAACCAACCATGCCCTTCTCTGAAAGTGGTGGAGTATGTGGACAGCTTGAAACAGTTGGAAAAGGGTGATAGCAACAATTATGGATTGACGAGTTGGGGTAGTTAGTAAAGCTGGTGAATAGCAGTGGACTAGCCTAGTGGGCCTAGAGTGGGATAAATTTTGTCCACCAAAAATTTAACTCGAGGACCAGACTCCAAGGGCGTCTGGTAGGTGAGGAGAGCAGGACAAGGTTCTAGTATGGTGCATGGCTGAGTTCAGACCCAATCAATGATAGATTTCCAGGACACAAATCACCAAGACATAGTAAGAAAGACTGTAGAAGGCTCAGACTACCAGGCAGCATGGAACCCCGATCTTCGACACCTGTTAAAGGAGGGAGAAATAGGATGGTTAACAACATTAGCTTGCGCCAAAAAGGGAATATAGGATAGGGAGGATTTCTCAGTAAATTCATTCTATGAAGAATTAACTTGGCTTTCACAGAAAAATCCACCAATAGAAAGGTATGGAGTATACCAGGACCACCAAAATCCAAGATTTCGTTGGCTGCCAAGTATGATCATTGACTGATGTTGTTATGACCAGACCGGAAATAAAGCCAAAGGAGGCATTAGTTCTGTCGGAATGGTTGTACTGGTTGGGGCACCAGTTAGACTGGTCAAAATTTAAAAAAATAACAAAAATAAAAACTACAAATAGATTGAAAATTTTGAGAAGAAAATAAAAAACTGAAAATTAGGAAAAATCCAAAAATATTCACCACTCACCACCTCAGTATCTTACATCAAAAAAGACACAACATATTGCAAATTTTAAATTTGTATTAACATTAGAAAATCCTATCTTTTACAAAAACCTACACAATAAAACATTAAAACCCCTTAGTTTTCCTGGAAAATATAGATTAATCAAATGAAGCATTTGAACAATTGATAAAATTGAGAATTTATACTAATATCACTATAAACAAACTTTATGCACCGTATATTAAAGCCAAGATGACCCCCTATCACCAAAATTGAGATTTCTCTCTAGATATGAGGAACTTTCTCATGGGACCTGGACCATTGGATTCCTACCTCGATGCCCTATCACCCTTTGAAGGTGCGGCATCATGATAACCATTGATAAGAAAGCGGTTTCATCCGCAATATACTAGTTTTGCTGACGCGATTCCCAGCAGATACATGGTAATTTGGATGGACAAGATCTCTCTCATATGTGGTCCATTTGAAGCGAGACTTAAACCATCGTGTTCCTCTCTGAATCCTTTTCTCCAAATTTCATGATCAATGGATCTACCCTCTGAAAGCAATTGAAGAGTTACGAAAGCATGTCGGAACTGTGCTGGGAAAGTTTAACTGACGCTCAGCAAAAAATATAAGAATCCCTGATTTTTCTCACACTTCGCCCACCCAACTCTAATTCTGTATGCGATATCTTCCTCAATCTCTCCATTTTCTTGGATTAACCCAAGATATCTAAAGTGTGGTCTTTTTTGTACTTCCTAGCCATCAATATTAAATACTTCTTCATCTCTACTCCTATTATTACTAAACTTGTATTCTATATGCTTTGTCTTAGTCCAGCTAATTTTAAAACTTTTGGATTCTAGAGCATCCCTCCAAAGTCCTAATTTTGTATTGAAGTCGTTTCGAGTCTCATAGGTTAAAACTATGTCATTTGCAAACAACATGCACCACGATACCACATCCTGTAGGTGCCTAATTAAGTCGTCCGTAACTTAGACAGAGAGGTACGGGCTCAATGCTGATCCCCTTTGTTAATGAAAACTCACTCATCTCTCCACTAGTTGTTTGTACACTAGTTAGCGCTCCATCGTACATATCTCTCACCAAGTCTATGTAGTGTTTGGAGACTCTTTTCTTTTCCAACACCCGCCAAATCAAATCTTGAGATACGCTATCATCAAGAAGAACATAATATACAAAATTAAAGCCAACTGATACCAAAGCCAGAGAGAGAAAGAGAGAGCTGCATGATTCTTTTATCTTCAAGTTTTTATGTCAAAACCAAAAAAGAAACGAAAAAATAAGAAACGAAAAGGAAATCAATGGATTTAATCAGCACACAAAGGACACGTGCATAAAAAATCCAAAAAATAAAAAAAGGCACAAAGTTTAAAAAAAAAGAAGAAAATTAAGGTCATTCATTTCAGGATAATGAACAATCAATAGTATACCAATCCCCATAAGAAGCATAACCCTAAGTTCTGAAAAATGAAACCCCTAAAAGAGTAAACCAGGGCCTCAAATTATAGATAATATCAATCAAATCCACCATGACTGAGAAAAACAAACCATAATTAACTAGAGCATGGCCGATCAAACAAACCCCATCACCACATAAAACAAATCTAAATAAAAGAAAGAACAGAAAATTAAACAAAACCCATCAAACAATCAATCATCAATAAGCGGATGGAGCTGGGTTGGAGAGAGAAAAAGAGGCCAATTGTGGAGAGAGAGTTTTTCTTCTGTTTTTTGGGGCTGGAGGGGGGGGAGGAGAGTTGGTTTGATGGAGAGAGAGAGAGAAGAGAGAGAGGTAGCTATTTTGTGTGAGAAGGGAGTGGATTAGTATAGAGAGAGAGTGAGAGAGGTTGATCGGTAGACAGAGTTCGAGAGGAGAGCGAGGGTGGTCTAGAGAGGAGGGTGGGGTGAAAGAAGAAGTTCTCATTGTTTAATCTTGACTATTGAGTACTCTCATTAGTCCTAGATCAACTAAAGAGAGGCGTTGATCCATAGGAAATCACAAAATAGTGATCGAATGTGGTATTTGAGTTGTTTTTCCTTTTCTTTTTAATGGTAGTTCTTGAGAGAAAAGTCAAAGCGCATTGCCTATAATTATAGTTCATGGATTACATATTTAATATGTAAAGCTTACATTATATAAAACTAAAGTCCATAGACTACAGAATGCATAGTGCAAATGTGTGGACTAGAAGCTTGGGCCGGTACAAGGGTGGGCCTAGCCCGGCCTGAAAGGCCACAGACCGGCCTGTCTCATGGGCGGCTGTACTCCAGACAGTCTTTTCTGTGGGCAAAGGGCATCTTTAAACTGGAATATGCATAGAAGTTAAGCAATAACAAATGTTTCCAATAAAATTAGAAGTTCCATCCATAAATACTCAACCATACCATTGGTAAACCGACATGCAATGGATGCATCGCGACTCAATGCAAATGCAACTTCAAGATGGAGTAAATATATCCGTTTTAACATATTATTTCAACAATATAATTTGAAACGCAAAAACCCAACTAAAAATTAGAAAGAAAGAAATGAAGCTATATTAAATGAATTTGGCATTTTACAACAGTTAAGAAACAACTTGAATTTCAAAACTTTGTATTAAAATCCATTTAAGACTTGAAGGTCTCAGAGATGAATCATTATAGTCCACAAGTAGAAAACTCCTACAGTCGCAAAATCTAATTATCAAATTGGAACCGAGTCTCAGATACTTACAGATGAACCATATGAGTTCTAGAACTTGAGAAATTTCGTATGTACCAGCGAGGAGACATGACCTGCATTGAAGCAAGGTACGAGCAATCCTTAATAATTAAAGTACTGTGTGACAAACAAGCTAGCTACATGTTCAACAGTTAAGAGATTTTAGCAACTGAAAAAGAGTAGATGAAATAAGAGAGTTTTTACCACTCAAAGACATAGATGATTGAAGTCAGCCTTTTAGCAACTATGCTATCAATACAGTGAAGTTCTACATGAATTATATCTAGAGCAATCTATCACATAAAGCTAGTATCATCTCATGCCTAATGACTTGTAGTTAAGTGACAACTAGCTTTCTTCATGTCTAGGTTGCAAGAGACAAGGAACAAATTAAGAGGTTTAGGAAGAATTTGGAATATATGAAAATAAAAATGTCCCGATTAAGTAGATAAGCACGCCAAGTTTGCAAGTTCTTCAAGGGCATGCCTGATTACTGGAGGTCGTGTTTCCATTAGTGTAGCACTTCCTATGTTTGTTAATGGGAAGTGCTGCGCTGTGTTGGTAGTGGAGCACTTCCCATGTTAATTAATGAAAAGTGTTGCGCTATTTTGGAAGCCATGGGAAGCCACAGCTTCCAAAACAACATAACTTTACATTGTTTTATGGAAGCCGCAACCCCATATATAAGATATGGAGACACATAAACCCCACAATAAACACTTAGAGGATCCAATATGCAAAACATAGAATTAAAGAAATTCCTTTGTAGAACACAGTTTCCGACAAAAGGAAATTTGATAAAATATCTTGCATCAAATTATTTCCAAGGGTTACAATATTGGAATAAAAGACTAGGGCCACTACATAGGCGTGTTTAAGGGTATTTTTTAACACTTGTATCTCCATTGCGAATAAAGAGAAAAGCAATTTGCGACCGAGGTCCGCAGGTACCAAAATGCCTGTGAACTATGGAAGCCATAGGATAATAAGCCCTGATCCAAGAGCGAAATTTCCAACAGTCTCAGAATGGCCCAAGAAGGTTTAAGAATGTTGATAAAGGTCTCCTAAGAACACCTGCTGAGTTTCATCGCAATCCGACGAGTTTAAAACAAAGCAGACGCAGAATAATTTCGAGAAAATCAACCTCTATCGCCCTGAAATGGACTTTATAACTACAGCCCTATCACCAGAGCGTCAAAAACCGTGGGACCACCGCCATTGTATCCAGAATATCCGAAAACCCATAGCGACAAGTTTCGGCTTGATCAGACGTTCCTGGACCCAGTTATGGCCAAATTACCCGAAATGGATAGGTCACACGCTATTACCATGCACCCTGGAAACTGTGTTCATGGGTTTCGGGCTCAACTTTGAAAGGTCATATCTCTCTCATCCCTAGCCAGATCAAGCTCAAATTTTATGGGCACGTTCATCGTGTCGACCCGAGCATTTTGATATGTGGCACGACCCATGTCATGCCTGAGGTGGGAGAAGAACAAGAGAAAAGATCGCGATTCAAGACAAGGTTGCAGGTTTTCCATCAGGAGCGCATCTCGATCGAGTGGCCGCATCATGACGCTCGCACGTCGGATCGACTCGAAATCAGACCCATTATGAGCACAAGGTTCAAGGCTTCATCGGAGCCAAACCTCGCTCGTGATGGACGGTCAGATTCGACGCACGACGAGTACGAAGTTGCTTCACTTTCTGGCCACCAAATTCCAGCCAAAAGATCAAAAATGGAAAATGGTCATCGGGGCACCAAATCAAGCCACATTCGTCGCCAAACGCTCGCGACAACTTGCTCGTTGATATTCAAAGAAAAAATCATCAAAAAACCCCGAGAAATGGCCGTAGTCTTTAAAAAACGATCGCATGTTTATCATGATTTTCGCATTTCGTGATCATGGCCCAAAGACCTAATCCGTGCTCGAAAATGGTATCAAAACAACCGTCTTCCCGAGCCGATCAAGAAAAAACATCATCTTTCGGCTGAATAGAGACCGGAAAGACCCCGAACCAACCCGAGAAGATCGCAAGAGTTCTTGGGCACAGCAGGGACTCAATTGGAATTTCGTGGATTGTTGGTGCTGGGGCAAAACTGTCACTTTGCCCCATTTTCTTAGAATTTCTTTAATTCACTTAATTGTTAATTTTTAACAATTAGGTCAACTTTTAATTGCACACCCATGTTTGGGCCCGACTTCTATATAAACAAGCACGCACCTCATGTAAAAGGACCCAAGTTTTCATCAATAAAAATTCTACTTTTTGCTTGAGATTTTGGACACGTCTTAGAGAGGGAGAGAGGAGAGAGAAGGGTTTCGATGGTACTCCAGGGCGTAAGGTAATCTTCTTTCTCTCTCCTTTCTCTCTCTTCTTTCCTTTCTCTCTCTTCTTTTCTTTTCTCTCTTTCTTCTTTCCTTTTTTTTTTTTTTATCTCTTTCCTTTTCTCTCTTTCTTCTTTCCCTTCCTTTCTCTTCTCTTTTTTTTTCTCTTTGCTTCTTGCTTGTCTCATGTTCCTCTCAGTCTGTTGCGTGCAGCAGTGCATACTGCCGAGCGCGACGTTCTCTTCCCTCTCTATTCGTTGTGCACGGCAGTGCAATTGCCGGGCATGATTTTCTTCTCTCTCTCAGTCTATCGCGTGCGACAGTACATACTGTCGAGCGCGACATTCTCTTCCCTCTCTGTTCGTTGCGCATGACAATGCAAATGCCGAGTGTGATTTTCTTCTCTCTCTCAATCTGTTGCGCGCGGCAGTGCATACTGTCGAGTGTTACGTTCTTCTCCCTCTCTGTTCATTGCGCACGGCAGTGCAAATGCCGGGCGTGATTTTCTTCTCTCTCTCAATCTGTTGCGCATGGCAGAGCAAATGCCGAACGTGACGCTCTCTCCCCTGTCTGTTGCGCACGACAGGGCATAATGTCGAGCATGACGTTCACTTCTCTCTGTCTGTTGCGCCCGATAGTGCATACTGCCGAGCGTGATAGTTTCTTTTCTCTCTGACTGTTGTGCACGGCAGTGCACACTGCCGAATGTGACGTTCTCCACCTCTCATCTCTCTTCTCTCTGTCGTGCACAGCAGTAACACTACGGAGCGCTATCTTTCTTCCTTCTCACTTTCTGCCTTGCACAGCAGCACACACTGGTAAGCACGATTTCCTTTCTCTCCTTTCTCTTTTTTCTTATTTGACTAGAGAGCTGGTTGAGCCTTGCACTGCCGTGCTAGTTTTGACGTCGAGCAATTTAGCCGTTGTGCCGGACAAGTTACCGTGCCTGTTTAGCTGTCGTGCCAGACTAGTCACCATGCCAGGACCAATCTTGTGGAGTAGTTTAGCCGTGTGCCCATCTAGTTACCGTGCTCGTCTAGCTACTGCGCAAGACCAGTCACTGTGCCATATTAGTTGTCGCGCCAGTCTTGTCGTCGAGTAGTTTAGCCGTTGTGCTGGTCCAGTTACCGTGCCAGTCTAGCTGCTGCGCCAGACCAGTTGTCGCGCTAGTCTGGTCACTACGCCCGTCTAGCCGTCGGGCCAAACGGCTTCATTCTTTTTTTTTTTAAAGGTTCAACGAGAGCCAAGCTGACCTTCATCATTTCTCTCATTCTTCTTCTTCTTCTCTCCACAAAAATTTCCATTCATTGCCTCTGAAAGTTGGGTGAAATCCAAGCCAACCTCCGTCCCACTTTTCTCTGAAGGACTAGTTGAAAGAAATACTAACCTTCAAACCCTTCTTCCTTTTCTCTGTCATTTCCTCTCTCACCCCTTTCTTTCTTTCCTTACCATAAGATCTTATCAAAAGTCCCTAGTCAAAGAGACGCCGTGAGGCTGTCCAATTGACATGGGCTCTTTTATGTGATTTTTTTAAAAAGCACACACGCATGTGTGCGTTCACCCTATGACAAGGTGGGGTCCTCAGACCCACTTATCTGTACTCTAATGTGTGTGTGTTTTGTAGGAAAGAAGAAAACACGTCAAGGGAGGTGAATCTAAACCGGCCACAGGCCAGGGGGCATTCTTCGTGATCTAAGAGGGCACCCACGCGAGAAGCCCGACCGCGTCACGGACCCACACAAGGTGAGTCCCTGCAACCCTAATTCCTCTCTCATCAGTTGGTATTCCTGCCCATGTCTTCTTCACACCGTTCTCGAGAGAGCGATCTCAGGTCCCGGGTCCATCTCGAACCCGGAACCGCGCCACCAGGTCAACCCGACCCGGAGGGTAAGATCGAGGCACCTAACCAAGGCGCTCAATGATAACGGGTTCATTAATGCTCATTCACTACAAGTGTTGGGCAAGCCCTAAACCCAGATTGGTTCCATGGACCACTATCATAAGTTAGGACCCAAGTAAACTTGTCAAAAATGGGTGTACACTGTTGACATGCATACATCTATCTTTACACAGTCCTTTGTGTAAGGTACTTGGGTTTTTGCATCATTTATACATTTTATATCAGGGATAAATCCCTACAATAACATAATCTATAAATGAGAATTCAGAATTCTAAAATGGCATCAGAGCTAGGCTTGAATCAAAAGCCCTATCTCTCTGAATATGCAGTGAACTATCAGTCAAGCAAACAAATATTAATATTCAGTGGAAGAACCAATCTTTGACATCTAATAGAAAATTTGAATCTGTTTGGAGTTAAAAACCATAGATTTTGGATCAGAGGTAGCGCAGCAGATGCGGCTCCATAGTGGGACTATAGCATTACTTAGCATCCAATGGAGCACATTTAGAATGTGTTGTACTGGAAGCAATGTTCAAGAAGACAAGGGAAGCCCATCTTTTATTTATTTTTATTTTTTTTGGTTGGGGGGTGGGAGTGTGAAAGGGGGGACTTTCATTATTGCTAAATTTGCATCACAAATTAGAAACAAAGCCAAAAGCAATCAAATACAGCCAAAAATATACTATAATTTTTCAAATTTGCATTATTAATCAGAAACATAGCCAAGATAGAGTAATATTTTCAAATTTGAATAATAAATTAGAAACAAAGCTCAACATAGCCAAAAGTATATTATAAATTTCAACTTTGCATTGTATAGCCAAACATAGAGTAATATTTCAATTTTGCATTATATATTAGAAACAAAGCCAAACCATAGAGTGTATTACCAAATTTGCATTATAAATTGGAAACAAAGTCAAACATAACTATAAACATATTAGAAACATCGCCATAGAGTGTATTAACAAATTTGCATTATAAATTGGAAACAAAGTCAAACATAACCATAAACATATTATAAATTTTCAAATTTGCATTCTAAATTAGAAACAAAGTCAAACATAAATAAAATCACAAAAATAGCAAACCATAAAAAAACACTCATGAAATTTCATCATATATGTAACACCAAACTTCAAAATAAGCACAATAAAATGATTAAAAAAAAAGCATAAAATAACACAATACTTACAAAAAATACGAAATCCTAAACATAAACAATTAAATTCATTAACCTTTCAAAAACCGGTCGAATTAGGCTTGAATTAGTCACTTTCGATTGCCAAAGCTCTCATTTGCAACCACTTTAATCCCGAAAAATTTTTTTTTTTTTCCTTTTAGCAAGGTTACATAGGAATGGAACTTGAGATGTAGTGCTATGAAAACCCAGCTACTACCGCCTTGACCCAAGCTCAATTCCTGATTAATCCCCATAAAATTTTGGGTCAAATTCCTTTTGATTACGAAAGAAATCCAAAACTTCGAATTCAATTTGAATTCGATCTTTTAAAAAAATTGATTTTGAGCTAAATGTAGTTTTGGGGCACAAATAGAGTTTGGGGAGCAAACATGCCCCCAAATACTACTTCCCCCTTTTCAAAGGGGGGAATTACATCTTTGCCCTTTGGTGAGGACATTTTCTGCCCTCATCAGCATCTTCGGCGCCAGCCCAGGGTCACTGCCCTGCACTGGGCTATAAAGGCCCAATGTTAGGCAGTGAGGCCTCCCAAGCACCGACTTTTTGAACCATGACTAGAAGTGTTGATGATTGAGAGAAACTCTATGAATGACATAGAATGAGAAAGTTAATTTTCCATGGAAATTAGTTAATCGTTGGGGAAAACTGTAAATTCCGTACTGCAGGATAGAGGTGGGGGATTTAGCACAAAGGCATCACAAGGTCTAATTGAGGATTCACTTCAGAATAAGAGATACCCTTCAAATTCTTCCACAGGGAAGGATCGATTAATTCATAAACACTGCATTCATGAAATATCATTTTGGAAACATATCTCTGTACACCCTCTTTTGGTGTACCATTTACCCATAGACCTAGTTTTTAAAAACTTTCTGACGGCATAGGTTTTCTAAAAAGCATATCTTCTAACCCCCTGGGCCCAATTTACCCCTTTTGACTACTCGTTTTTGGCGAAAACAAACTAGAAAGACACCTCTATCAGTCTAGCAAAGCTCTCTATAAAATGTAGTTATTTCTCTCTCTATGACGTCTCGATCTCTCTCTAAACTAAAACTCTCTCTCTTTAAAATAAACCGATACCTCCATCTATCTACTAAACCTTTCTCTAGAGAGAGACATTATAGAGAGAGAGAGAGAAATAAAGAGATACAGAGAAAGAGGTTTAGTAGACAGATAAAGGTGTCTTTTTATCTTTTGTTTGGGCAAAAAAATGAGCAGTCAAAAGGGTTAAAATGGGTTCAGGGGGAGATTATTTTAAAGAAAACCTATGGCACCAGAAAATTTTTAAAACCCTGAGTCTATAGGGAAATGGTACACCAAAACAGAGTATACAAAGATATTTTCCCTATCATTTTCTTTATAATGATGAATTATCGTGTGATTAAGTACATGTATTATTCTGGGTAAAAGCTTGTAGCTTATGACTAGCTTTCTGTTCCCCAAAATGGGCTTGTACATCACCATCAATTTTCACAGCCATGAGCTATACAACTATTTCCTGAATAGTTGGATATAGATCGATTGCCCATATGCTCTATGTCAAAATCATTAAACCAACATGAACCAGGTTCCCTTCAGTCCATAATGATGAGATGATGCTTATAAAAAACTATAACAGGTACAATAACTAAAATTAAAATATAGAAACCATTCAAGTAAAATCCATTCAGTTAAGAAGCAAGGAAATAAATAGATTGCCCGTATGCTCTATGTAAATCATTAAACCAACATGAGCCAGGTTCCCTTCAGTCCATAGTAAGGAGACGATGCTTATACAAAACTATAACAAGTGCAACAACTAAAATAAAAACATAGAAACCAAGTAAAACTCATTCGGTTAAAATGGTTCCCCATTCTCTCTTCAATGTTAATAAAGAAAATGAGAACATAACCCATAAAGAAATCACCATGGGACTTACACGATGTATGCAGATATTACAATGTGTGACAAGGGAAGCCACCTGAAGTTCCATATGGCCTGCCCATGTGCTATCTTGTTTCATGGACTGGCAATACTCATCAAAAGGAACATCGTCTTCGATAAATGGCTCAAATTCTTCTCGGTGCTTCTGTTAAGAATAACTATAAACTTAGTTTTGCTAACACAAAGTATTTACAGAAATTGAGGCCACTGCTATAAAACATTAAATGGTCAACGAGAAGATCTCTTAATACTCCTCTCAAAATGAAGCACAACAATATACCGAAGCAAGACAAATATAAACCTATAGGGATCACCAAAGAATATAAACTTCAACTTCAAAACAAACATGAAGAAACTAATGAAAACCAGAAAGCCCAGAAAGATAGAACAAAAAAACATTAATCAAAACATTAAGGCCACAATTTAAGTATAACAGAATTAGCTTCCAACCATCAACAAATGAACATCGATGAGACATATCTCAATCACTTATTTCAAAAAAACTGCAGGTCATAAGTATAAAAAGCTGTATTGATTCCAAGTACTGATACCTCAACTCACAGGATGTAGACTGAGGACCAGGTCAGTTAGTTTATGAATTTTTGAATGGGGTACACAGCATTCACAATTACTAACAAATTCATGGAACATTCTTAACATTTATATAATTAAAAAATTAAAACCATGTTAAAATCATATGATTGCTGAATAGGAAATGATATTGTCTACATTCATTTTACTAATCACGACAGATGCATGAAGACATAGCATCTTGAGAATGTTACTTCACAGCTTCATGTGATATTAAAGCCTAGTTATCACAGATTCAATAAGTACCATTACGATATTCTACTCTTAAAATCCAACTTTTAGAATTTACTATATAATTACTATTATATCAGAGGACATTGATTAGTCAGCTTTTAGGGAGTCACCGAATATATATGATATTCTACTCTTAAAATATAACTTTTGGAATTTACTATAGAACTACTATTTTATCAGAGGACACTGATTAGTCAGTTTTTATGGGATCACCAAATATATATGACTCTAACTTGTCGAGCTTCATTTTTGCAATTAGCCTAGTAACCCATTCATGCATGCTCCATGTACCAGCCATTCTGAGGGAGTTAATTACATCCTACATTACTTAAAACTCTCCCCAGGAAAGGGGATATTCATGCTCCACAGTGTTTCCATGGACTTATGTACATATACTAATGCAGACTGAAACAAATGTAGATGGGCAATCCACCACTGGCTATTGCTCTAATCACAACAATCTAGTGACCTAGCGTAGCAAAAACAAACAAAATCTTATAACCCACTCATGTGCAAAAGCAAAGCATTGAGATGTGGCATCAACTTTAGATGAGTTTTGGTTTTAAAAATCGCCGATCCAGATTGAAATTGCCCAATCCGGATCAGGAATTGTTGGAGACAGTCCGGTTCAAGAACTGGCCGCGTCCCCCCCTTGAACTGGCTGGTTCTCCGACAAAACCGGCTGATTCTCCTACAGAACCGGCTGGCTAATTCTGTCTGAACAGAACCTGTCGATTCTGTCCTGAAATGGCCAACCAGCCCCATACTAAATTTTTGACAAAATTTTGTTATTTACTTACGATTTTTTGAGTTTTTTTGAAAGAGGAATTTTTTTATGTGCAATTTTTTATTTTTTTTTAAAGGGGAGGTGGCCCACCTCTGTCTGAACAGAACCTGTCGATTCTGTCCTGAAATGGCTAACCAGCCCCATACTGAATTTTTGACGAAATTTTGTTATTTACTTACGATTTTTTGAGCTTTTTTCAAAGAGGAATTTTTTTATGTGCAATTTTTTAATTTTTTTTAAAGGGGAGGTGGCCCACCCCATATTTTGTATCTTACTATTTCTCAATCTCACTATTTCACCAACTCATGATTTGAGGGCCTCAACCATTGGATGGCCCCAACCAACCAGGCGTAAGCATGCCATAGTGTAAGTGGGAAAGCTAATGCTATAGTACATGAGCCTTAAGCTTTTTATAGAGGCTTTTGCTCCTTGAAGTCCCTAATGTGGGACAATTTTCTCTCGCTCCTTCACTCTACCGGATGAAAGATTTTGGGGTTAATAAATATAATCCATGGGACATCTGAAAAAGAAACAATAATACTAATTCATAGGGCACCTTCAGTACATACACCCCCTTGAAAATCTGTTTTCTAGTTTCTCTATCCACTTTCCTCATTCCAATTTCACGGAAATGAAAATGTGGCTTCTCAAAAAAAAATCATGAAAATGTGATTGCATATTCTTCTTTCCAAATTCTATATTTGTTTTGAGGACCGGTTAACTTCTTTCCAAACTTTATATTTCTGTCCGTATTAATTACTACACCTTAGATCTATCTATTTGGCAACATATACTTTTTCCTTCCTAAATCTCATGTAGTGAAGAGGATTTCTTTTTGTAATTGTAACCATGTGGCAAGACTTTGGAAATGATTTAACCAATATAAAATTTGAGATTGTTGCAAAAAAAAAAAAAAAAAAGAACCTCTAGAATAGCGAAAACATGTGTGGTAAGAAAGCAGAAATGGAGGGTCATACCTTTTTCCCCGATTGGCATTTTGGTTTAATAAAACACAATAGCTCATTGTGAGGGTCATAGCTTTTTTTCTCTCTATCAAATCAAAAGGTCTGAAACTATTGTATGATTCCTTTCTTTTTTTCATTATAAAATTTTGAATTAGAGAGATCCATTTTATTGCCATGAGATGCATTTTAAATATCATTTTAACCATAAAATGAATGTAATGGATAACAAACACTCAAACATGAGATAGGTTCTTAATATTTATGTATTTTTAGTAAAATAATGAAGAATTATAATGCAACATCATTATTTTTTTTGGAAACCTAAAACACTGGTTTTTTAAGAAATTATATTGATTTTCTGGATTTTTTAATAATAGATCTTGCTGATCCGGCCGATTCTCTGATCCGGATTGTCGATCCACCAATCCAACACAGTTTTTAGGGTAGTCAATCTAGGCCACTGATCCATTTTTTTAAACCATGGATGACTTAGAATAGTTGAAGGCACTTCTTAACAATACAGGTTTTTGAAGGCGGGCAATATAATTTTTATTTTAAATTTTATTCAATTTTAAAGGATGTATATTTTAATTTAAGTTCTAGGGTTTTTAAGTTTCTTTAGGGATCTAAGATTTTTTATATTTTTTTGGATTTTAGGAGATATTCTTTTGAGAAACAGGATTTTAGGAGATATTTATAAAAGTGGTTAGAAGACTAATAAAATTACTTGTTTTATTACGGGTAAAAGTGTTATTACGAATTTTCTTTTAAGTGAAGGGACTTACAGGGTATTTTCATAATGTTTTAACTTAAATAGGGGTAGTTTTGATCTTTTTTTATTATAATGTTATAAAAGGGCCTAGGATGTTGTTCTAACGTATTTTGGGAGTGAATAGTAAAAATAGGCTACAAATAGTAACAAGAAGCCCTATCTAAGGTTTACCGGTCTCTTGTTTGTGCATTTGGACTGTTTTGATGGTTATTGAAATGTTCTCCATTTTCCTACCTCAAATTGGTATTAGAGCCAAGGTTTTCTTCAACAACAAAACTAGGGATCTACAACCAAGTCTAGGGTTTGCTGATTTTATGCTAAGTTTTGCCAAGTTGCAACCAAGTTTTATTGGTTGTCGGCCTTGGGTTTATGATTTCGGTGAACCTATGGCAGCAAGAAGAGGTCGAGGCAGGGGTATTCAAATGGATCCACCTCGTGATGAGCAAGATCAAGAGATAGAGGATCTAAGAAAACAACTTCAAGAACTTACAACTTTCAGGCATCGATCGTGAGCAAGATGAACTTTTGTCCATCCAAGACAATGTTGAGTATAAAGCTTTTCATGATCATGCTCCGGGGGAGGAGTTGAGTGAAGAGGAATATGATCAGAGGTATAGGACGCACTCAAAATCCATAGATCTAAAAGTTGATAATCCTAATTTTGAAGGAAAGTTGCAACCTGACGACTTTATAGACTCGTTAAATAATACAAAGGTCAAAATTATTGCCATTAAGTTGAAGAAAACTGCTTCGGTATGGTGGTAACAGCTGAGAGCAAGGCGAGAAAGAATGTGAAGACTTAAAATCATGTCGTGGAGAAGATGAGGACAACGATAAAGGAAAAAATATCTCCCTGAAAATTATTTACAGCCTATATATATCTAAAGAGGCATGTTTTTCGCCAAGGAGATAGGTTAGTTTCACATTGTGATTGCCTGTAGTGTTGTGATCGAGTGGTAGGAGCAGTCCATTGCCATGGATGTGACGGACTGCACTAATCAATTCAAGATATGGAAGTTTTACAGTGGTATTGGACCCTTGATGCGGCCTATAAACTTGCAACGAGGGTTAAAACTCAGCAAAATGACGCTCAAATAGGTGGAGTGTGGGTGTGGGTGTGGGTGTGGGTGTGGGCGTGAGAGATAAGGGAAACAGGGCAACTGCCCGTGGTGGTGAATTTGGAAGAAAAGGCAGCGTGACATGTGCTGGTACGATGTCTTGCACTGTTGGAACGACCATCCAGCAAGTTGCCCAAGACCAAAAAGGAGTTCTTTCGAGAGTTGGGCGACCTGAAATGGGTGCAAGTAGCAACATCAAGTGCTACAAATGTTCAGGGAACAGGTATGTCACATCGCGTGCTCAAATTGCAAGCTCGATAATCTTTCTGAGAGGTTTTAGAATTAAGACAAAAAGCACTCTTTTGAAGGTCATCACATCTACAGTGAGCAAGGTTTAAAAAGAAAAATCCGCCTACGCGCCTAAGATACCTCTGACCGCACGCCTAAACTTGGGCATCCCATTCTAGGCGGCTGTACCTGGACAGGGGCCTAGGGATGTGGGACTTTGTTTTATTTTTAAAGATCCCCAAAAGGACAAAGGAGGTAATTTTGACCCCCAAAAAGGTTTAAATATGTTATGGGGGTTATTTTCAACCCCCAAAATTAAAAAAACACTTCCATAACCCCTCAATTTCTTAACTATACCTATTTCTGAGAATCAAAAATATTTTTGTGTTTTGAAGAAGCTTCCTAAAATTTTCTCTTATTATAGAATATGGAGAGTTGGGGACCGTTATT